AATTTAAGCTCAGAAAAATACCCAAGACGGGTTGATATAACTGATCGAGTTATATCAACCAGTCTTAGGTATTTTTCTGAGCCTAAACTTTGGTCTGATCAGCTCGGATATTACATCACCGACAAATTTTTGCGCCATGACTATGCTACCCTTACTAATCATTAGCGAAGCTTATTTCTTATATTGCCCACCTATTCTATAGAATATCCTTACATTACGATATATATATTGACAGGGAAATGTTCTAAAATAAAAAATTCATACCGATATATTTTAGGTTCTGGCTATACATGCAGATGAAATTATTTTGGGTTTAAAACCCGCAATTAAAATTTGAAGACAAAATTGTTTTTGATCTATTTTATTTAAAAGACGAAATTTTTTGACACTTTTTTTTGAAGAGATGAAATTATAAGGAATATAATTATCTAAATTAGATTTGCTCTTACATATAAAAAATTTTAAATTGCTCTAATGAAGTTAAAATAAGGGATTTTTAAAAACCTATTTCAGTGGCATATATAGTTCTGGTATCATTATAAGTTCTACATTATTATAAATAAATCCAATGATTATAATGACCTAATTACATTCAACGTGATGTTGTTATATTCCTCTGCAATTTTTATGTTTCATGGTACGTAATTTAGCATTCGACATTCATTTAAACGACTCAAGTATTTATTATTGTGAATAAATTGGTGGACCTTATTAAAACAATACTTTTAAAAAGATAAAAAAAGATAACTAGGTGGTAAAAGTAATAATAATAAGAAAATTTTCTCTTTGCTATGCTTACATGCGTTTGTTTTTTAGACATATTGTCGTAAATTAGCAATAATAATACCCGTAATATAGATATAGTGATGGAGGTATTTACTTTTTTTGCGTTTGACACATCAATAAAATCGCTACGTACGTACGTACGTACTCGATGGATAATTTCTGCATATTATACTTCTATTTTAATGATGCCAGGTGAATATTAAATAAATCGGAAACTGTATTTATTCTGCTGGAATATCCCAAATACATCAAAAAAAAAATTATACACTTTTAAACTATATAAAATTAATTTCAACTATTACAAGATGTTTACCACAATATTTACGAAAGTATATATCAAAGGAAAAAAAAAGATTTATTTCCATCCAATCAACGCACGCCCCTTTCCAACGAACTTTCCAGCGACAACACAAACCGTAGTAAAAATTTGTTTTTGGAGTATCATTAAACTAGGCACTATCAAAGGTACGAGAGCGCCAACAGTTTCCTCCGGTTGACACAAATTCTCTTGCCTTTTTATAATATATTTCCCGTCATTGCCAAAGGTTAAATCTAATTTTATAATGAGTCTAATAAAGAAAAAAATGCATTTTTTTTTTTTTTTTTAGAAACATTTTGGTTTTTTCAGATACTTGTAGATGTGTTGTTACGTTATTTACCTTATTGGTTGGTTAATCCAGAAGAAAACGCCACGACGCGCATGATGTGTTACGTCAATCACAACCTTATTTTTTTCTTCGTTAAAAAATATTTCATGAATGTTCGTTTTACTTGGACATGTATATCCTAAAAAATATACACCACAAAATAAATATATGCTAATAAATATAAACGCACAATTAAAATTAAAAAAATATATAATTACCCAGATAGCATTGATTTAATGCTACAAAACGATCTCGGGAACATCGTCCACTGGGAATATATGTCATAAAATTTTTAAATTCAAGGGTTTCGCAATAATATTTTGCAACTTCGAGTGAATTATGAGAATGACTAGTGCAAAGAATAAGATCTATGATGTTTGGAATGTCTTGAACTGGGTCTTCCATGATTTTCGTGTTTTTTGTTATAATAAGTTGAGAAATTCAAGTGAATGTGAAAAGTTTGCGTGCTTTATATATCATAAGATGTGGTAGTTTTAATTCCTATTTATAATCATAATTTTCACATGTAGATCTAATTGTACCCCCAGGCTGTAAAGTTAAAAAAAAAAAAATTCATTACCAAAATTCATTACCGTCACCGTTACAAGATCAGTATATAGACATTCATAATGGAAGTTTCTGATTTTTCGGCGTTCTTAATTGGATCTTCTTATGGAAATGTTTGTGTTCCTTATTCTTAGCCGAAGCATTCTGTGGTTGCAGTATGCGAAATTAGCAAGATTGTCGTTTTATTTAATATCGAAATGGTCTGATTTTTATTGTATTGTATCAATATGGAAAAAATTATTCTAAACTATATTTATTTTTAACGTTAACGCCCAAACTTTATTTAACGTTTGAAACTAGCATGAAATTTACATGCTCGACATGCGATATCAATATCGATATTTATACATGTTTGCAAATACGGTAATTACCTAATATCGATACAACTCTTTATAGATATTGCACCACTAACGCTAACTTGACTGGGTTAAAGCGAATCGGAATGTGAGTGGAGAAAAGCGGGAGCAAAATAGCTTTCCGTACTCGGACAATTTCCCTACAACTATGATATCTATCGCTATCCCCTGAGAAATTTAACTAACCATTCGGCACATTTTTGGAATTGGGCAAAAAAATTAAAAAACCCAGAATTACTATTTGATTATTGCATAATACTGTATATCGATATACACTAACCATTAAACAATATAATTACCGCGTCAAACCCATTTCTTTTTATTATTATTATTAAAATTCATCTCTTTTACTTTAAATTTAATCTCTTATAAATATAAATTTAGAGTAGTGTAAAAAAAAAACACTTCCGAACAAAAATGATGCTAAAAGAAAAAAAATTTAACTTAGCCAACATTATTGAAAAATACTGTATGTTAGATAATCGCTTATTTCGATTACCGGTGTCATATGACTTAACATCCTTCTGCTAGTAATGTATAGATAATAAGCAGGCCTACCGAATAATTGATTTTAGGGGCAATTAATTGCAATTAATTGATTGATGGCGCAGTCACAATTGGTCAATTAATTGCAATTTTACGTAATTAGATTTCATATTACATCAAGCAGCGCTTTATGCATTAATTCGTCATTAATTGGATTTCAATTAATTTCATGATAATTTTAATTGTATGATGTATGGCAAAAATTAATTACAATTAATTTTTCGGTAGGCCTAATAATAAGAGGTTGGGTCAGAGACTAGACTGAAAAACATGACAGCTGTTTTCATAAATTTTGAGAATATTGAAAACTTTTCCGATGACTGATCACTGTCAAGATTTATTGGTTGACAAGAACAGACTTATCCATTAACGTTGAATGTATAAACATTATAATGATAAAATCAACTGTGTAAAAAAAAAAAAGAAGGATTTCATGTAAGATAAAACATATATACCTTTTACATACTGATTATGCCGAAATCACAAACTTAATCGAATCGGGCGAAAAAATCATTTGGCTAATTTTTATCAGGTTTCCAGGAATTATGATAATAGCTATAAGAACGGCGGTCTTATTAAGGGCCGATCCATTCCTAACTTCGAAGACCTGTATAATAGTTACAATCAATTAAACAAACATTGCAGTCAATACTTGAATTGATTCTTTTATTATTTGTCAAATGTCATCAAACAATAAAAAAAATAAAAAATAAAAAAACAAAAGCATCAATCCAACAGAAAGTGGATAGATATTAATCTAGAATCTACCAGTTTTAGTTCTTCATTGTTGTTGGGTTATCGCATCAAATGAAAAAATTATCAATAGAATAGTTAAATTTGTTGCCATTTGAGCGAAAGCTAAAAGATGGTAAGTATTCGTTATTGTTTCTTGGCTTCTCGATTTATTTATTTTCCATAAAAACTTTTAATGTGAGAAGTAAAATAATAATTTGCTCGTCGAAAATGATGATCCATTGCAAAGTTGTTTGAGCGATCTCTTTGAATACTCTATTGATCGTAAAATGTTCAAAGGCAGTAAAAAGTTGATTGAAATGAAAAATTCATTTAATGTCTTTTACTAATAAAAAATTGGTTATTACGTAATAAACTTTATTAATTTACGCATTTATTCATCGTAATGATAAACACGCTTAATTAATTTTAAATATTTTCCGCCAAGTAAAATTTATTCCCCGACATTTTTTGACTCATTGATTGAGGCGCTTGAGAGCGACCACAATTAGACAATTTTTTTAAAAAAATAATTTTATAAGTAACATTTATGTTGCTATACGATATATGGGGTGAGTCAATAGAATCAAGCAAATTGTTTTTATTGCATTTTAAACATCAATAACTTAACAAAAGCTTGATCAAATTTAATAAAAATTTTTTTATTAAAATTTATTAAATTTTTGTTAAAAAATTTACTTAAAAAAAATTTGCTTGGTTTCTCCTAACTCAACCCCATATATTTGTGTATATATTTTTATAATCAAATTAAAGATGTTTTCAAACAGCTTACGTATCAATGTGATTGGCTAGTGATCAAGATGTTAAATTATTACGATCAATAGAGTATTCAAAGAGATCGCTCAAACAACTTTGCAATGGATCATCATTTTCAACGTCACATTAAAAGTTTTTATTTTAATAAAATCGAGAAGCCCAAGAAACAATAACGAGTACTTACCATCTTTTAGCTTTCGTTCAAATGGCAACAAATTCAACTATTCTATTGATAATTTTTTTCATTTGATGCGATAACCTAACAGCAATGAAGAACTAAAACTGTTGGATTGATGCTTTTGTTTTTTTTATTTTTTATTTTTTTATTGTTTGATGATGACATTTACAAATAATAAGAGAATCAATAGGAGACCATTCAAATATTGACTGCAATGTTTGTTTTGATTGATTGTAATAAGTACAATTGCTCACTAATCACATCGAAAATGATGCTTGAGAAGATTACAATTGCATCATAAATTGCATATTCGAATTTCAACAAAAATTTTATGTAAATATAATTACGCTTGAGCACTATTACATCACTTGCTAATCACATTGAATTGAGTCAGACTTTTTTATGCATACAGTATGTGCATTTAAGTTATAAAAAAACAAATTTGTATTAATAATTAAAAACCAAAATTTTTTATAAATTTAGAAAGTATATTTAACTAATATTTTAACTTATTTGAAATTGCTAAGAAATATTTACGTATATATATAGATAAATATAAATACGTATAAAATTTTTGTAGCAAATTTGGAAATCACGATTTTTATCAAATATATATACTACACATAATGTTTTTTTGAAGTTTTTTTTTAACTCGCATTAATTTTATATATTATTAAGGAAGTTTTAGTTCAGGTACGTAGCTGATTTATCGATGCATCTAGGAATGTTAAGCTTTTCATTATTAGTTCCTCTAATAAAATTTTCTATATAAAAGAATCTGGCTCATTTTTAATAATTTCTCTCCATTCATAAAGTTTTGAAAACAATATATATTGTATTGGGCCGTTTTTGTGGATCCAAATCCACGCATTGATTGATAATTCAATATAACACTCAGAAGCTTTATGCATATAACACGCAGGAGTTTTGTGTGTAAATTTTTTGGTCATAATCCATTACATATTTTCAATGTAAGTCCAATATCTAAATCATATTCGTTGAATAGCCTTTGTCTGTTGTTATTTCGGTCATAATTATACCCAAGTTATAAAATATCAGATAACTGTAAAGATTGTTGTCTACATAGAACGACATAAGCCGTGACACCATAAATTTCTCCTTTGAAAACTTGTTCCTTAATTATATTCTTATTTAGTAAAATGTCAGAGTCGTTATGAATATAGCCTGTTCTGTGGATTTGAGTTAAAGTCTTCTGAAATATATAAAAGTTGTAGTTTATTTCCCATGTGAACAGAGATGTAACACAATGAATTGGACAATTGGACATAATAAAATTTTTATTGGACATTATAATGGGTCCGTATCATTTCACCGACCGACAACTGGGTTCGCCAACAATTATCTACTGACGATTAATTCACAGACAAGCTCATTCCAGACAGTTGGCAGCTTATTTCACTAACGTTTTCTTATAAATTGCACTAACCTTAACTCTAATTCTAAATTTGACCCTAATGACAATGACCAGAATTACTTTATCTGTGAAATGAGCTGTTTGTGAAATGAATTGTTTGTGAAATAAACTTGTTTGTGAATTAATCGTCAGTAAATAAGCTCGCAAGTTAATTGTCGATGAATTAAGTTGTCGAAATGGTTATTGATAAAATGAGGAACCATTATATTTATGTATATTATTACGAATAATTAGATTCTTATTAAACTGCTATCCAATAAATTTATTGGACAATTAATGTCTAATGGTCCAAAAAATTATTTGGACATTTGGACTATGTCCAAATATCCAATTGTCCAATTGTCCAATTGAATTTATTTGGACATTGTCCAATGATAACACTGCATGTGAAATATCTAAAATTATTTAATATTGATAAAGATTTATTCCATCTACGTATTTTTGAAATACCATTAAGTATTAGTTGTATTTTTAGTCATTCCAAGTCCACTGCTCATTGATCTATTCCGTTAAAAAACTATGACTACTTACTCTAGGACGGGTACGTATCATTTCATAGAAAATCATTTTATAGACGCCTCAGTTTAAAGACAACCAATTCATAGACAAGTTTA